AGAGGAGGATGGTGGAGAAGAGGGAGGAGGAGGGGAGACGAGGAAGGGAGTCTTCATTTATCATCGAGCATCCCGCCGCCGGAGGCGGACAGCGGCGGAAAAGCAATCGCGTTTCGTTGACCCGGCTAGTTATATCGACGAAAAGCAAACCGATCGTTTTGCAACTTTTTTACGCAACGTCAGACAAAGTCATTAGCGTTCGTCGACGTAATCGCGTCGGTAAAACAGAACGAAACAATGCCCCGGAAAACAAAAAGCGGATTGCCGGACAGAAAAATCGACGAACGACGGAGATCGACGTATTATCGATACTCAAATCTCTCGATTTCACACACCGTGACTTAATCCGTGATTTTATTACAGAAATCGTGCTACGCGCGTTCGACGGACAGTATATTCTCCCGTATCGCGCTATGTAAAAATCTATTGATATTTTCGTAGCGTCCGCAACCGACCGGCAACGCTCTCGACGTTTTTTCCATTCATCCCACTCAGTCTCCCGTTAACTTTGCATAGACTTGCGTCCCGAACGAACAAACTGCTGTATTCCGCTGCAATATTAAAGGACTCTACCAAACGGCGCCGGTTTCTTTGATATCTACCAAAGAGGCCAGTTTATTGTTTATCGCGGGTTAAAATAAAACAATAAATCTCTTTAAGAAGTCCCCTCAGCGACAATTCAGATCTCAACCCTTTGAACGTTCCGAGAAACTTTCCGGAATAATTATAATAATGTGAAAGAGCTCGCAAAAATACAGACGTAGACGAGAATTCGCGTTTCTCTCTTACGAATTAAAGTTCGATGTACTTTCGTTGCCGCTTCGCGTGTAACCCCGCTTGTTTCCTGTGCATTTCCCGCTCCGCTCCAGAGAAATGGAGCATCCTGCCACTTACTGCAATCTCTGACCAGCGGCAAGAAGCGCAGAACCGCACCTGGTCTCGCCGAAACCACCGGCGGCGCCGACGTCGGGATCGAAGGAGCGGAAAGTGCGGGAAAAACCGACCTACCCCCGTCCGAGAGCACCGAAGAAAAGCGATTTCCCCGAGGGCTTTTTCGCCTCTGCCTTGCCGAGGCAAGGTCCTCGAGTGGAGGAGCGGTATGCGCGGAAGGAATGCACAAGCGAGGAGAGCGATGTTCTCCTCGAGATGTAAACTGTTTGTGCTGTTTCCGGTACAACCGGAGGCCCGGGAAATGGTCAGACGGTGGAGTAGATCCGGCAGGCCACTACCTCAAAAGGAACTCTCTCTTTCTCTCTCGCTTCCTCTCCCTCTTTCTCTGTCTCCTTCTCTCCGTCTTCCTATTACCGCTTGTCTTTCATGTCCCCTTCTCAGCGCTCGTTCTGCTTGTCTGAACGGCTATTTACGTATCCGGCTTTTCCTACTATTCCTAGATGGACATACGATTGATGCTGACACTTTCGAGAACTCGAAAGTTGGGCTTTTTACGGAAGAAACGTTGCTTTCCGTAAAAAGATAATTTTTAACTTATATTACGTAGAATGTATCATCATTTCGTCCATAAATAAAGCAATCATTTTTGTAATAAAAATTCAACATGTACTCTCTAAATGGAATCTGTATTATCACTGAAAAGTCAATAAAAAGTTACTGATTCCTCAATTATAAATATAACAAATGTGAGCTCTCATTGAACAAATTATTTCTAGCAATATATTTTGTAAAAAAATGTATCGAAGCTTTTAACCAGTCTTGTTTATTTTTAGTAGGTTTATTACATTTTAAGAGTAAAAAAGTGTAATATGTATATAATTATGAATTTTGATACTAGATATACGAAGGTGGTTTGAAAAGTCCATGCAAAGTCTCAGAGAGATGGCACCACTGATGTGTATTGAGGTTATTTTCAGTTAGTAGCATCTCTTGGAAGAACACACACCAAGTTTCAGCCAGATTCGGTCTATTTCTCTGTATTTGGCGTTCGTTTGAATCGAGGAAGTCAAGTGATTTCCAAAAAATGGATGGAAGAGAATTTGGCCACAAAATTAATGGAGTTAAAGTTCCAATTTCGTTCCGCATCCTCCCCTATTCTCCAAATTTGGCTCCTTCGGACTACTAGTTGTTCCCAATATGAAGAAATGGTTGGCGGAAGGGAGATTTTATTCAAACGAGGAGGTGAAACGAATGCCTTTTGCAGAGTTGGACCAATCCTATTATTCGGAAGGGATCAACAAACTGGAGCCGAACAGTGCCGAACGAAGTGCATAAGCCTAAAAGGAGACTACGTTGAAAAATAAACAAGGTTTATTTCGAAAAATTAAGCAGTTTTCATTTTTGCACATACTTTTCAAACCACCCTCGTATGTTTTATTCGAAATATGAAATGATATGTCAAGATTTCTCTCAAAAAGTAGCAATTTAAAATAAATATAAGAAACTTTAAAAGATACATCTTGAAAACATATAATCTGTCTATTACTGTTACTAATTTTTTAATGAACTCCTACCGTCACTAAAATATAAGATGAGGAGCAAAAAGTGTTTTCACTGAATTACTTATTGATCTTGAATGAGAGGATTCTTGTGTCCCTGCTTTGACAGATGACATTTTCACTGATTTAGTTCAACGGAAAGTATAATAGTTTCAGGTATTTTATATGATCCAAACAATACATGTATATAAATTATACATATATCGTGATAGGAATATCACGATAGAGGTAAAAAATATCTCTCGCTCCAGATGGTTGTCTCTAAAATATACTGTTGCGATTACAGAATGATGAAGCAAATATATCAAAAACATGTCAAATTTTTTGCGCATAAAATGGACCGTCGATCATGCGAAGCGTATAGATCAGACTAACTACGCGACCCTCAGCACGTTAATCGTAATTTTCTTGATTGGCGCGGAATTAGCGTCCAACTATATCACGCCGTAATCGCGTTTGCGTGGATTTATCGCACGGCGACGTATTTACGACGCTTTTAGCGTCCTGCTTTTGTTCCCCGCCGCAAACGACGCGCGTCCCGACGACCATGCATTTTTATTATTGCGCAATTGCGTCGGGTCCTTTGCCTGAGTAGCTTCTACGGGGAGAGTCGCACCACCTGAAGGACAAAAGCCGGGGAGATCGTTCAATTCCAGTCGGTGTTGTCCGACGATGATAAAAAGGAAGAAAGAAAAAGCTTCTCTCTCTGTCTCGTTTCCTCCCTTTATCGAATAAAATAGAGTCCTGCAATTTGTCACCCCGAGCACGGATCAATGGGTGATGTTTTTTTGAGAGGGCGGACCCTTCGGTTGTCTCCTCCACATGAGAGATCCTTGCCAACTAATCCCCGAACGATTAATCTATCTGAGGCTCGGCGTCTCCAGGCTTCTCTACCTGAGCTTTATTTCGCTGGGCGAAATAATTTTTGGCGAAATCATCGGCGAATAAACAAAATCCATCATACTTTTAATCGTCTAACTCCCCGCTCGATTACATCGAATTTCCCGCATATATTTTCCGCCGGTATCATTTTTCACCGAGCTTTTCTTCTCTCTTGTTGTAAACAACAGCGTTATTAATACGTTAACGGCGTTACGTACACATTGGATCAACTTACTCGACAAGCAAATATTTTCCCTGCCTTCAACACCCCGCGTTCATATCGCGATCGAATTGATTTACTTTATATTACAATAGTCTATCGCGGGAACCGGAATGACCGATAAACTGTTGTGCCTGGTACAATGATGGGATTATAACCTGTCAAATGACTTGATAATGCATTGAAAGGAATGAGTTTAATATACTCTTGCAAAGGTAAGCATCGATCGGTCGAGATATGAAAGATACAAATACTCTTATTTAAAATGTGTAAAAAGCACAAAGTTTCATTCATTTTATTCCCTTTGTCTTTCCTTCTCATTATCGGACGATTTTCTCTCATTTATAAGAGTTACACTCTCAAAATTGAAACTTTTAAAATACATCATTTTATGTGCAACACGAGCAGAAAGATTAACTTACACATCATGGATCTACTTTCCTTTTGATTTTTAATATTGCAGAGGATTTTCACATAAAGGATGCATTTCCATGTAATATGCTTTGAATTATATGATGCTTTATTTTTGTTTCTTTATATTTATGATATATGATTTACGACTTTTAAAAATATTGTAAAAATAAAATTTTTAGAAAAGGAGATCAAGTCTCAATGACCTTAATCTTAACACGTTTTCAAAATGATGATTCTTAATTTTCCAAAGGTTTTCCTCATTGTTAAGCATTTAACACATTAAACATTTATCACATTATTAAATATTTACCAACTGATTTAAATATGCAAAGAGATTTAAATATCTATATGCAAATATATCGAATTTTCATTGACTTTTTATTTGGTATGGAAAATTTCAAAAATTTTATTGTATCTTTTACAGTTTTAGTGTAAAACAAAATAAATAATATATAAATTTTATTGTAAAATAAATAAGCCTCCGCGTGAACGCAGGAAGGACTCGAAAAAAACTAAACTAATCTAAAAACTAACCTAATCCAATTTCTGATTTTAAATTGAAATTAGTTTTGGGTTAGGTTTGGGTTAGGTTAGTTAAAATTTCTTCGGAATGGAAGTGCAGTGAAAAAGGGATGAGATTTGATAAATCATATATAATACGCAATATTGAAGTAAATAATCAGTAAATTTATCTTTTTATTGACATTAACGGAACTCATTGCGAACTTATAAGGCTGCATTTATTTTGAAGCTAAACAGTAATTCTGAATCGTGTTGACAGTGATATAATAACGAGCCAATATAAACAAAAAATATAAACACCCAAATAGGATATAACGAAAACATGATAAATAAGTACGAAAATCGTGATATTTCGAAAAATCATATCTCAGAAATCACAAGAAAAAATTATGTAATTCAAAGTGTGCATTATTTAGGAATGCACCCTCAATACATGTCAAAATGACTCGTGAGGTGTAAATTAATGTTAAGATTTATCAAAATTAAAAATAATCACGTTGTTCTTCCCCTACCTTTGCTATAAGGCGCGAGCAGTAACAGATTCACTAACGCCGCTCCAGTGTCATGGCCCATTAGAGTTATTCGCGTTGGATCGCCGCCGAAAGCGCCGATGTTCTCACGCACCCAGCGGAGTCCCATCGTGATGTCCTTTAAAGCCAAATTCCCGCCAGATCCGCTCGTCCTGTCGGCGAATGGACGAGTCCTCAAGAATCCTGGAAGAACGCCAAACCGTTTGCAATTCAACACTCTCACGGGATTGCTTGTCGGGATAATATCCTTTCTCCCCTTTTCTCGTTTTATTACATTTCCTCTCTCTTTTTTTCGTCCTCTCGCAACATTTAGAGCGGTGAAGCTTATTCGATTTTAAATGTCACTCGTAAATTCGAAAGATACTTAAGCGAATAAATTCGCTTTCAACTGAAGAGGAACAAAAGATTTCAAGTGTACGATAATTCCGGGAATTTTAGAAAAAACTTCGAAAAACCAAAGCTCTATTGTACATGAACGAAAGAGGTTTTATTTAATGTTTCTTTGAGTGCAGAGATAGTTAAGCGAAGCATGTAAATGTTCGTTACACCATTAAGTCATAATCCGAGACGGTTTCATAAGCAAATAGATGGAATTGACATTTTCGGACTTTGTTATACTCGTCGTGCAATGACAGAGATGCAAGCTCGTAGGTCTTCGAAATACTAATATTGACTTAAGTATGGTTTATAACCGCGGACTACATCTCTCTATATGTATTTGTAGCGTGTAGCTAGATAGTTAATGATACGAACTTACTTGCCGGGAAAGTGCGAGAGTCGTAATAAGCGACCGTTTTACAGAGACATGACGTGGTATCTTTGTGGAGGAACATAATTAGATATTTAAATATTATTATATACAAAGCGTCTCCAGAATTAAATGTCTTAAAATATAAATTTAGAATTATTGACATCTGAATTACAGCTAGGAATAATTAATAAAGTTATATCCCTTACGAAAAAGAACTATTGCTGATTACACATAAATATTACTAATAATTACATAGGAATATTACTGGATATCACAGGAAATATTATTGGATACTACAGAAAATATTACTGGATATTACAGGAAATATTACAGGATATCATAGAAAATATTATTGGCAATTACATAGAATGTCAATAATTATTTCGTACCACTACCGAAATATATTACTGCCAAAATATATTATTGTCAAAATATTACTGCCTGAATAAAAGAGGCTTTTTGGAATAATTTCAGTAGTTACTGATAAGACAACAATATTTTAATAATGATTTCCAGTTAATTTTAAAAGAAAATTAGTAAACACAATGACCAAAATATATTATTGCTATTTTTTCACCACTGAAATAGCAGTAAATATAATGGTGATTGTGTCCAATAATTTTCGTTTTAAAATTAATTGAAAATTATATTACTAAAAACATTGTGCCTTATTAGTAACTATTGAAATTATCCCAAAAAGCTTCTCTTCCATAGGATGTCACTTTGTTTTTTTAACATTGTAGAAAAATATTTATTGCAGAAAGTATGGAACATTAATTTTTAAACATTAAAAAACGTTCAATAAAATTTTTTTTTAATACTAAAAGCAATAACTTATATTAAATATATAAATAACTTATACTACATATTTACAAAACATTTATTTAATCAAATATATATTATTTATATATAAAAAACCTATATTATTTGTATCTTTGCAAACATATTTTGCTGTCTTATTTGAAGAAAATATTTAAAACTTTTAATATAAAAAAAATTTTTAAGTTTTTATATTTGCAATAATATTTTCAATATATCCCTGCTCATATTATATAATAGAATTAATCATGAGCAACATCCTGTAATATCTGCGTGTAATTCGTACCCTCAGTAGTTACATATGCAGTGATCTTTCCAGTGATATCCAACAGGCGAGTAATATCTGTCTGTATTCCGTTGCTAGTAATTATTATAGAGGCAATAATATTATTAATATTCGCCTTGATAATTACAGAGCCACCAGTAATAATCACACAATCGCGTGTAATAATTACACGGCTGGCAATAGTTCTTTTTCGTAAGGGATTGTATTATTATTCTATTAATATGAACTTGTCTCATAATGGCTAATATTATAATGGTGAAATACCAAAACTGAACACAAGCACCATCGATATATTATTGAAAAATTCTATATTTCTACTTGTTCAATGGTTTTCAAAATGTCGTCGTATTGAACAAAATTTATAGTTATATTTTAATTTTCATATTTTCAGTAATAAAATAATTGGAACATACCATTTATTTATTATAATCTAATAATAATTTTATAAAATTCTATATTCAAAATGATTAGATAATTAATATTAATTAATATTTCTTGGCAGTAAGACGTTTGTCAACTTTTTCATTTATTTTAGGATTTTAAACTCATATTTTAAGTAGGGATGCAATCCTGAAACAAATTATGTATACAGGGTGTTTGGAAAGGTCAATTGAATAGGTGGTGAAAAAGGAGCATGAGTAGGACATATAATGTAAATAAATTTTTTTCTTATTGGCTATAGTTTAGAAAATACAATTCTTTATGGGGGTGCATAAAAAGTGTTGAAATCCCTTAATCTTTCGAAAAGTACGCATTTTTGAGAAAAATGTTTTTTACAAAAATTATAGGATTTTAAGTGAAGCATTACACAGAAAAATTAGAATGATCTTGAATAGCGTTCTCAAGGTCACGTAAAGATAACCTAGAAATTTCACTTATTGTTAGACATTTCTATTGACCCTGTATAAACACACACGAAAGCTTTTCTACAGATTAATTATACATATATAGCATACAAAGTTCACGAAAGCAGCAAATTTTGAATAAATAATTATAAATTGGAGAAATTACGGGGAGAAGGAGGGCTATGTAAAAATTGAAATGTTTTTATACACAACAAATACCACAAACCGCTCGAAATTTCCTTGTTCATTCCACAACCGTGGAATGTTGTGTCCGCTTAATGAAAATGCCTTTGAAGGTGTGCAAGGGTTAATTATAGAGTGGCACGTACCTAAGATGCCGAGACGATAGTTGAGTGTGATCACTATGACGTGGCCGGCGCTCGCCAAAACGGACCCATCGTACATGTTACCCGATCCCCATTCGAAACTCTCACCGTGTACGTAAATCATCACCGCATACGGCGCCTCCAATCCTCGAGATCCTGAAAACAACAGCACAGCACTGTCGCTCTTCCATTTTCTTCCTAGAATAAACCTCTTATCCGTATAAACCTACCATTGACAGATCCAGCTTTCTCGTAATACCGTGCGACATTATCGCTTACCTAGCATTATGTTTTCCCGCTTTATCCCTCGAGAAAGCCGCGGAACAGCGGGGATTTCGTTTAACGAGTTTGTATCGTTTTGTACACAAATTTTTCCCGTATATTATTTCTTTGCATACATTTTTTGATGATCCAGTTTAATATTATGAAAAACTGATGATATTTGAGATTTTTTTTTAAAGAATATTGATTAAATAAATTAATATTTTTTTTTAAAAATAATTTAAATATTTTTTTTAAAGAAATTAATCTTTTTGACGTTTTACATCTATGTTTTTATTAATGTTTATAAACGACAGTATTTTTAAATCTCTCTTTTAAATATTTTTTACACACTTTATACACTTGCACACTAGCTTTTTTTTATCAATATGAGTTTTTTATGCGTAGTATGTGTAAATATGATATGCTATTTCTATGTAATTGCTTGAAATGAATAAACTCAGGCTAGTTTTATGTTGTAAAATATTTACGGGGTATTGAATCTAATTTCATTAGAGAAAATTAACACACAGCGTCATTTTAAAATTAGGTATTTCAATTTTGTTGAAAGTTTTTCATTTCCTAAAACTGAGAAAAATATCAAATATTAATTTTTTAAATTTTAATTAAATTTAATATCTCCAAAAAAAGTGCTGTACTTCATTAAAAGAAAAGAAAAAGTTATTTTATCTATTAATTTTCAAGATAAAATCACTTCAAAATTTTAAAAACAGGCCTTGGTTTGAAAAGACACTGTTTAAAGTTTTTAAAGTTTTACAGAGCCATTTAACATTAGAATAACTAATTGAATTTATATTTATTTTTACCACATCCGTTAATTTGACGGATATCAAAAAATATTTTATTTATTATCATTTTTAATTTTTTTAGTAACGTTTAGTTACAAAAATATCGCTTGTTTTTTTTCTTGTTAAAATAAAGCATTCAGAATACTCTATATATATTATAATATATTATTTCCTGTAACTTTGTATGTTTTTTCTGAATTCTTTTTATAATTATTCAATTCTATCATAAGAAATAAAACGATATATTTTGCAATGATAATATTTTCAATTATCATTATATTCTAGAAATTGTTGTCTATGTTTCAAATAAAATTCAAATTAAATCAACAAAATTAGTTTGCGTTAAAAAGAATATATTTAAAAAATAAATATACCTTTCATTAACACAATAGGTTTCAAAATAAAATTCAATTTAAATCAACAAAATTAGTTTGCGCTAAAAAGAATATATTTAAAAATAAATATACCTTTCACTAACACAATAGGCGCTTATCACATGAATTTTGACAGACTGACAATGAAAATGCGATTTTCCTGAATTATTACCGAAATAATATGCCAATTAATATTTGCCGTAAGCGAGTTGCGCGATACCATATCGGTTTACTTATTAAAAAAATATGTAGATAGCATTTCTTTGAAAAATTTTGCGTGCGCGTAGAAAGATCTCGCGTGACTTTGTATCCTACAAAAATTATTTTTATCTTTTCATATTTCATTTTGTTCACTCTAAAATGTTTGCATATTATTAAATTTTCAAATAAATTGTGATGAAATGTGAAATTATTAAGTCCGTCACACATTTTGACAGGTTTTGATATATTTAGATATATACTATATACAGAATTTCGAAATTAAAATGATTAATACGTTGAAAATAAATTGACATGTATCATTTTATTATTTTGATAAAAATCAATATGCGTTCTGACATTTTAAAAATGTCTTAATAATTTCTGTAATTTAAAATAAAAAATTGGAAATCTGTCATTTTGATTTGGTAGATTGTATATGATAGATCTATTGTTAAAGATCGCACGCTATCTTATTTAATATTACAACTCCGTCAATCTTACGAATACTTCAATAAAATTTTTTGAGAGACGTAATTTTTAGATATCATACTTTCTAGAAAATAGAAAAGTAGGAAATCAATTTTTTTTATTCTGCAGTAGACTCGATCCTTAACTTTATTAATAATAATATATATTCTCTTTCTCTCTCTACATTTCAATATTAAATTTATTCTTGAATCTTCAATATTTTTGCAAGCTTTATAAATACAAAATAATATTGTTTTCTCTGAACAGCCAATTAATCCTCCCATTTACCGACTAATTGCGACTAATCCGCGTAAAGGGTCTCCGATTCCCAAGATTTCTCAGGTGAAAACCGCCTCAGAAACGCGCGATGTTGCATCGGATACTACGTTGGGATTTGTCGCACGTAGGGCAGCTTCGGGCGAAAAACCCGCATCGCGTGTCAAAGGCATTAATCCTTTGATTCCGGACAGAGATGGATGCGAGGTCGCGCTTTTATCGAGTGACTTTGTTCGCTCGCGAATTCGATCGATTCGCGCTGCGAATTTTGTATTCACGCGCAAAGTCACGCGAGATCTCCCTACGCGCGCGTAAAAGGAGGCTTACGCGATCACAGATACGCCCGAGATGCATTTCGGTGCACGGCCACGCGAGAATTCAGCCATCGTAAACGCTCAATACGTTTGGAAATCGCTCCGAATAAAACGGGACGCCCTCTTTCAAACGCTCGTCTTTTACGGCGGATGTAAAATTTTATCACGCCGAGGGTGTCACATATATAAGCGTCGGAATGAAGACGAAAAAATTAAAAGGAAAAATTTTAATAAGGCTATACGATTGTAAGATTTTTTTTTAGATTCGCACGCATTTCAACGATTTGACATGGAATCTTTGCGAATCAGGAAATTCTGATATAGATGAAACTTTACACATATGGACAGTGTTTACTGATGTGTATCTAGATAAAATTATCTAGATAATCATCTAGATAAAGAAATGGATCATCTTTATCTTTAACTAGATGAAGAAATACAAAGTATCTTTATCTTTAATTATCTTAAAGTATCTTTATCTTTATCTTAAGTAAAAAATATATGTCATTTTATCTAAAAATTGTCTGAGATGTTTTCATTATGCAAAAGAGTTTTCCAGGCAAGCTTCTAAAAATCTATCTAAAATATCTAAAATATATTTTTATTTGGAAAATAATATTACAAATATGCTTTATCTTGTACTTGTTTTATTTAAATTTGTGCAATGCATTAATGTATATTTTATAAAAATGATATATGTATTGTTACACATTGATTATTATATTATAAATATATTATAAATATATTATAAATATATTACAAATATAAATTAATAAATAAATATTTGTCATATCATTTATATACCTTTTTGCTATTATTTAAATATTCTTTAGGAAAAGAGAAAGATTATGTGTTTATGATTTTAATATCCCATTTATAATCTGTGTCACAATTTTTACAAATATTTATAGTCTTATAAAATAAACAAAAATATCTGGATAATTATTTAGATTATCGCAATAATCATCTCATCTTTCATCTAGATTAAGTAACAGCAAAATCATCTTTATCTCATTTAAGATAAATTTACGGATTTTTATCTTTATCTAGATAATTTTGAAATTATCTACAGCAAACACTGCATATGGAGGAGGGAGGAGAGAAAATAAATAGATAAATTTGCAATTATCTAAAAACGATTCTGAGAGATTGAATTATCCCTCATATATAGACCTTTTGCTTTTCTCAATAAATCTCGAAATATCAAAAAATGTTTCATACAAAAGAATTTCATGGTTAAAATACCTCTATTTAAACAAATTAATAAAATTTTGGAGAGAATTTTTTTCACAAATTACTATCAAAAATTTTTTCAAAAATTTTTTTCAAATTCTATTAATATGGTTTAATTGTGAATCTTTTGTACAAAACATTTTTTGATATCTCGAATAATTTTCGAGATATATCGAGAAAAATAAAAAACTGCTTTACATATAGGGTTTCATTCCTTAAAATCGTTTTTGGGCGTACAACACCTGATAATTTTAAAAATATTATATATTTATCCTTGTTATATGAATGTAAAATCAAAATTTCGCGAAAGTGAGTTAGATTTCAAGAACTTTTCGATGCATTCTTCTTTTCATAGAATTTTTAGTCACATCATTATTGCAGATTTTCTGAAAGGTCCTATTTAATTGAAAATCATTTCGTGACTAACAAACTAATCGCTGCATTGCGACTAATTAATGCCCGTCTGTTACACAATTTGCGCTACGATCGGATTACCTGACTTCAGGAAATATCATCCTAAAGCTTTACGAGAGAAGTGGTTTCGCGCAAATTACATACGCTCGCAATGATCATAGTTGGCAATTCAATCGTCTCTCGCGCGGTGTTACTTTGATTATCTGTTAACTCGTAAAACTCGTCCAATTAGAAACGATCATTTGCTAAGTAGACAAAGCTGCTATATGACATGCTTCGAAACAGATCTTGTGAAATACGTCATCTTATTGAATTTGTGCGCTCTATGTGCAATCCTTATGTATCCTTACGGTCATTATTAATTACGCTTTAATTGTCAAATGGCGCTGTACAAGATACTAAGATTCTTAATTTTGTTCGAAATTCGAGATAAGATCAAGACACATTTTTTAATTAATTATCAAGACAATATCAAAACAAAATTGATAAGATTAGATTGATTTTGTCAAGGTGCATGATTTTTAGATAAAAATTAAATTAAAATTAAATTATGTTATATTCGTAAATTAAGAAAAAATCTATAATTACATTATATCATATTATATGAATTATATGAACTATATAAATGTATTATATGAAATATATATTATTGATATATATATAAATCGTGTCTGCGATGAAGAATCGAAACGCGAGCACGTAATCTTGATGAAGAAGATAACATAATTGAATTTACGTACATGCGAGTCCGGCTTAAGCTGCCAGAAGAGGTAGACATAATATTTTTCTCTTTCTTTTATTTTTTTCTTTTATTTTTCTTTTATTTTTTATCTCCTTCAAGCTGGCAATGAAAATGATGATATACATTGCTCTTTTCTTGATATGCGTGACAGTTAAATATTTTTTATAGTCTTGTTTATTATACATTTAGTTTAATATTTTTTATATACAGAATAAATGAAAAGAATGGTTAAATGAATAAAACAAATGGTATAGTACAAAGAAATATTATATTTAATTTTTGATTTTATACAAGCATAACAAATAAAAGAATAATGTTTTGAATTGTAATCTTTAATATTATATAATATATTTAATTTTAATTTTTAATTTATTCATTAAATATTTTGTTTTTAATTTAATTTTTTATTATGCTTCCTTCTCTCTCATTGTCATGATTTAATACTACATTTTATATAAACATTTTATGTAAATATTCTCTTTTTCGTGTTATTCAATCTATTCAATTTTATACAATCGCTTCATTTATATTGGAAATTCGATTGAGGATTATTTTTCTTTACAAAACTTTGTAGTGCGTTCTATTATTCGCATGGCTCGCATAATTCTCAGTGGTTTTCTTTTCATTTTAGTTTAAAATTACACGATGCGGCTTTACGTTGCAAATTCGCGGTTTATCTTTCATCGCGCATTGGGAAACGTGCGACGTAACGCGTGCGCCTCCTCCCGAGGGTTGATATTACCCGGCATAAAGATACTAATTACTTTAGGACTAATTACTTTAGGAAGCAACTTGTGCGCCACGTAATACTATACGGACGCATAAATTGTCGGCACCCGATAGATAATGTAGTCCAGAATTTCGGGGGCCAAAATTACCGCCGTCGCCGCCGCCAACTACGAAACTTTACAACGGCCCCGAAGGTAATACGTTATTTTCCGGCATGTAATTTTTTCTCTCTTTTTTTTTTTTGTAGTCGCTCGGCATTAATCTCGGTCGATCGCATCCCTCGGACGTGTAATTTTGAGCGAAAAATTGGCTTGATTCTTTTTCTTACTCGCGCGCTTTTTCTCGTGCTTTACCACTCAACGTTATCAATTTTTTTTTATAACAACGTTTTTCGAAACTTTTTTATTCGAAGCATATTAAAGAACGCACATTAATGTATATTATAATATACGTTTTTCTCGAGGCAAAAATTAAGTCGGGAATTGATAGTCAAGTGACAATCTTTGTGAACTATGTCGCTTAAATGAGTGATAATAAGATGCGAAAAATAAATTATTTATGCAGGTAGCAAAGGTGGAACTTTCATTAACTCAATGTGGAGAGTAGCTTCACTATCTTTCCGAAGAATAAAGACCTTCATTAAAACTTATTATCCCCTTTTACTCTGTCAGAACTGAGGAACTTTACGTTACCAGCGAGGTACTTTGGCCGACAATAGAAACGTAATTTTGCATAGCCCCTTTTAAGACGTAATTTATCGCGTGACCTTGTCCTATTTCCATAAAAAAAAAATCTACACCCACGAAATATCACGCAATATGTAATTTCTGATAAAGGCAAATAATTGTGAGAAAATGAATTCTCAACGAAGCCTCCTTTAAAATGGCTTTCTGCGAATGAGAGGAGTCTGTTTTATTAATAGAATGTCATATTTCTTTTTGTGTATCGAAATCTTTTTATTAGTTGCACATAATAATAAATGCTTCTCCATGATTAAAGTATACATAGCCCATACGGCACAGAAATATTGCAGCAAGATTGCAGAAATATATCTTTGCAAGATTGCAACATTGCAGAAAGGTTGCAAAATGTTGCTGAAACGTTGCTGCAATATTGCAGCAACGGTAAAATGTCCGCTTATAGAAATATAATATTTAATATTACAAATACGTTGCACCGTAACATTGCTGAAATATTGCAATGCAATATTGCAGCAATGTTACGGTGCAACGTATTTGTAATATTAAAACGCGTTTTGCTACAAATGCAGACACCGTTTTAAATTTAATAAATAAACTGTGAAAATATAAAAAAATGTTTAAGAAAGATAGGAAAAAATGCCTTTAAAAAAACATCTATTAGTGTTTTTATTAGATGTTTCTTAAATATTTATCTCAATAATATTACCTACAATTATTTTACATACATTCTATACCAGAATATTTTAATACGTGCAATAAATGAATTATTTCCTATTTACTTATTCAATTAAGAAAAATCTGTTTAATATTTTGAAATCCAATAAAGGATCTAGATTATTAAACAAATTATTTGTTTAGGATTCAGAATATTAAGTAAATCAAGTCAGTTTATTGCCAGAAATTAAACTGACACAAGACAAGAAATATAATTACCACATTAATCCTTTGTAGACCTTATATGCATCTTAGATGAATTCGAATACAAGTTAGTTAAATTGGTGTCGTCGCGTAGCGGCAAGTAAAAACACATGTTATACATTTTCGCTATGTTAAAACGTTGCTGCAACATTGCCAAAGTAATATTACAAAATAATGTCTCTGCATTATTTCTGCAACATTACACTGCATTGAGCAATATTGTAACATTGCAGCAATGTTGATGCAAGCTTATGTGCTGTATGGGCAGGAACAAAGAAAGAACCTTCCGATTTTATGTTAAAAATAAAAAAAATTGAAATTTTTTTTTTCTTTTTAACATAAAATCGGAAGAAACAGTTTTTCTTATCGGCTTCTGTGGTGAAGTCATAATAATATACAGTTTGTCCTAGATCACCCGTATACCTATTTTAAAATAAAAATAAATGGATAAAATAAATAATGTCGCTAGTCAGAAAATCACAAGGATCGTTGAAAAAAAATGTAGTCGACCAAACTAGCCAAAAATTTGTTTATTAATACGACGTTTCGACCATATGGTTGTGGTCCTTATCAAGTATATACGATGCAATAAAAATCAGGAGACAGGCATAGAGGAGACAGGCATAGAGGAAACTGAGTTTCTTGACGAAGTCTCAAACGGACGCATCAGTTTCTCTCAAATTCAAATCGAGTAAAAAATAACGTTTTTTGTTAATGTGACTTGTGCAGTTTTGCAAGATTATCCTCTATGCCTGTCTCCTGATTTTTATTGCATCGTATATACTTGATAAGGACCACAACCATATGGTCGAAACGTCGTATTAATAAACAAATTTCTGGCTAGTTTGGTCGACTACATTTTTTTTCAACGATCCTTGAAAAATAAATGGTTTTTATCAAAAATCGTGAACATTTTTTCTAAAAGTGCCTCTGTCAATCCTAAAATTAACCTTGAAAGTAACTGTGATGAAATAATAACGTCAATTTTAAGATTAACAGATGCACTTTTAGAAAAAACGTTTGATACAAAAGTTTCTTATTTTTTTCTCGTACAATTCGAATCTGTAATAAAAAGTACCATGTTTCCCTAAAAAAATTCCGATCCGGATGGCGTATTTCCGGTCGGAATCAAAAGTTGAAAATATCACCATTTGATAGAGCGTACCCGATTTACTTAAAAATTGTTCGTGATTTTTGATAAAAGATTAATATTATAAATATTAATATTAATATTATAAATATTAATATTATAAATATTATAAAATAATTAATTAAGTAATAATTATTAATAACAATTTAAATCCTAAAATAAAACATATATATATTAAAACCAAAGGTAAAATAATCTTTCAACATAAATATATTAATTCATAACGTATCCGAGGTAATAAACCTCGTATTATAATAATTATTAAACACATTAAATTTATTCAAATTATTAAATAAACATACAATTCTATTACTAAATTTATAAATATAAATATTATACTAGAATACATAATATTATCCCATATTCTCTTAAACAAATCAAAATAAACCTCCTCCTAAAATATTTAACCATCATTTATTTTCATTTTAAATGGGGTGTATAGGTGATCTGGGACATCCTGTATATACATCCTCTTAAATGTTATATTATATTCACTATATATATTCTCTTACCGCTTCCGGGTATATACAGGTTGAGAAAGAGGCAGTCCTCGCTCTGATTGGCCAAGAATATGATCATTTTTTTGAGCTGTTGATACCTGCCGTGCGGCATTTGCAGAAGCGCGGCAGTGTCATTGGTAAGATCCGGATAGTTTTGCGGGCACACCGCACCGAAGGTGTCCGCCAGTTTGACGCCGCTCCAAGGTATCGGCGAGTTCGGAGCGCGGAATCTTAACTCTCCCACCGGAGGCGCGGCGTAAGGTATGCCGCGAAACACTTCCACGGGGTCCAAATGCCGGCTGTTCAGCTCCTGCAACGGGAGAACAATAGAATGAATTTAATATCTCCAGAGAAGAGGAAGGATAAACTTCTGTCAGCCCGTCAGTATCGATTCTAAAACGACTCTCAGTTCATCGATGTTCGGAATCTTATCGATTTCGCGGTTATCGAAGTCTTTATTTATAGACGTATATATTTATCAACTTTATCGTCTCAAATTTAGAGATGTAAAAGAACTATCTTTTCTTTCACAGAAAAGAAGTGTTGAAAAAAAATGAATTTGTTTTTTTTTATAATTTTTTTAATATAATATGATTTCTTCATCATATCTTTTTGTTAATGTAATAAAAATTATTAAATTTCTTATATTTTTAATTTATCTTTTTTCAAAAATAATTTATTAATTTTATTATTTTAATTAATATTTATTTATTTAATAAAATTATTTAGTTAACAAAGTTAATTTTATTAAATAAATTAATGAGATTTTTGCGACAAATTACATCAAACAGGACATAACAAAAGTTTATTTATTATGCATCTAATTGAAAACTATCCAAATTATCATGTTTGATATCATTTTAATCATAACAATCTCATTAATCCATTAGAATTATTTTCAAAAAAAGGTAAAAAATATAAGAACACTTTTCTTTTATTATATTGAAATAGGGACAGAAGTAATTTTTAAAAATTACACAAATTATATTTTTGTCTCTAATAAAGACAATTCATTCAAGTAAATTTTTACTTATTTTTGGAGAATTTATCTCATTAAAAATAATAATTATGTAACTATATAACTAATTGGAATGCGATCTACATTTAAAATAGCGTTATTAGTTCAAATCTATCATCTAAAGATCAACTTGTAATAAACAAAACATATATAAAACATATATAACATATTAATATTTATAAAAAAGAATAAAATTTAAAAAGAAGATCAAAGTTTATTATATTTTTTTCATAAAATAAATCATATTCAAAACGTTTTGTTTTTTTCCTATTCGTATACCTTATCGATTCTATATTTAAGGATAGCTTTAAAATTGATAAATTTAGCTCTTCTTTTCTTCCTTTCGTCGTTCTTTGTTATGTGCGCAAGTGGTTTCTAAAATGTCTGTCCGCGATATATCACTTTCCGTCCTGTGAATCTCCGAGTGCAATGGTAACAGACACAGTTGAGCTTTTGCCCGCACCCAATATCCATCTCCTCCTACACACTTCGGAGACGCGACGCGCGAGTGCTTCGAAGAATGCTGGGTTAGGATGAGGAAAAGATTCCGTTGACACGACACGACCGTCCTGAAACAGGCCGGTGATTAAAAAATGTTGCATTAAAAGAGCGAGTTCCGATTCTCGCGTTTAATGAAAACGTCGCGACAATTCGAGTCACAAAGACAGAAGGAATGTAAGCATAAGAGATGGCGGAAGAAAAAACAATTCGAGTTGTAGGAAGGATCTCTAAATATTTATATAATGTTTAATTATATTTAACATACTCTCTAAAAGTGAATCAGTGTATTATCACTGAAAAACAGTAAATATAGTCACTGATTACAGTAGTTATAAGTACAGTACTGTAAATCAATGATATTTTATTGAAAGAATCAGTTAATAATTTTGACTGTTCAATCAGTAATATTTCTCAATATCAGTAATATTTCTTTCGTTATTGTCAGTAATATTAAACTATAATTCATCTCTCTATCTATTTCATATAAAATTCAAAATTTTATTTATATTTACTAAATATTTAATATATTAAAAATTGTATTTTATTTATATTACATGCATATTGAACTTGTTATTTTAAATAGATAACGAACAAATAATTTTCATTAAGTCGCCAGACATTTATTTGTCCGACTTATAAAGATCGATTTAATATCTGAAGCCTTTCTATTGAGCTTGTATCAGAAATTAAATCGAAGTAATACTTCTAATTTTAAATGTCGCTCTTTGCAAACCTTATATAATTCTTATAACTAAAATTAAATACGAGAGATATAGCGATTGTAGCAGTAAATGAACGAACTAGCGATTGTTTTTATAATAAAATTTACTGATTTTATAGTGAATTTTATTTTAACTGACCATAATCAGTGAGATATAAGAATAAAATAACAAAAAAATAAGCGTTTCCACTGAAGATCAGTAAAATACTCACTAATTCTCAGTGAAATCTTATTTTACTGTTTAAATTAGTGATATTTTCACTGATTCGCTTTTAGAGAGTAAGTTAAAATATTTCTTTTTCTTTTAGTTTCACATACATATATTTATATTAAAAAAAAAATTTGAAAATCAGAAATGGAGTTTTTCACCTTTTGAGCCACGATTAAATCACGTGTCATAACATAACGGAAAAAATTGTTATTTAATCAATTGTTATTTAATCAATTGTTATTTTATCTTGAAAGCAATTATATAAAAAGGACCGATAAATCTCGTTTTGCGCGTGCTGATTTTCTAATTGTACCTTTGATTGGAAGAGGCTCGTTCATTGAAATGACCATTCTGCAACTCATGCCGGAAATTACAAGTTTCTATAACGATCAGATGTTGCGTCTTTGTCGGAAGAAGAAAATGTATCCGTGTTAAAAGGATCCTAATTGAACGGTAAACTTTTACACAATTGCAGCGCCCTCATCTAATCCTCATCCTCTCTCTATCATGTTATTTATAAAGAAGATGCACTGTTTTTCCCACTCTACTTTACCGATATTTCAGATACATACGGACTGAAATTTTCGGAAGAATGCCATTTATTAATTAGGCAATTAAATTCAGTTTATAGTTTGACAATGTTTTACGGTGCAGTACACAATCGTGAAAGCTACTGTTTTATGCATAAAAGCTATAAAACTGTTATAAGAAGCTAATATTTGTACAAGTTGACAGCATGTTGATTTAAGAAGTCGATAAATAAAAATGTAATTTTATATTTATTCTTTTTTTCAATATAAAATCTCATATTGTATAGAATTGTCACGTGTCCGTTTGCGTGTATACTTTAATTCTGAAGAAGGATTTTTAATTCTATACAGGCAATAAAAAATTGCATACTTCCGAAAATTATGATGTTTTTGTCGATAAAACAGACAATTTTAAAACAGACAAACTTAGGATTCCCTTAAATGACATGGGAGAGAATTAGACAGATCAGAGAGAGGGAGAAACAAAGAGAAAAGAAGAGAGAAAAAGAGTGAGAGAGAGAAAAGAGGAGGGGGCGAAAATGAGAACTATTCGATTGGACATTTCCAATTGCATTAAAAATTAAATGCGCGTCATGCGACTGTCGATAACAATCGGCGCTTATCGAAGCTCCCATAAAATCCCCGGGGATGATGGCGATGACATAGAATGAAATATTAATTTAGCTTCATGAGTCTGCGAATTTTGTTTCTACCGACGTAATATCGTAATTGATTTTTGTGAATAAAAATATGAATAAAGACGAGAGTATCGACGTTGAATTTATATAGCTAAAAAAAATCTATAAAATAATATATAAATCTGAACGAAAACGAGAAAGGGGAGAGAGAGAGAGAGAGAGAGAGAGAGAGAGAGAGAAGAAAAAAAAAAAAAAGAGAAGAGAGAGAGAGAGAGAGAGAAGAAAAGAGAAAGGGGAGAGAGAGAGAGAGAGAGAGAGAGAGAGAGAGAGAGAGAGAGAGAGAGAGAGAGAGAGAGAGAGAGAGAGAGAGAGAGAGAGAGAGAGAGAGAGAGAGAGAGAGAGAGAGAGAGAGAGAGAGAGAGAGAGAGAGAGAGAAAGAGAAAAAATTTTATATGTACGAGCACATCCGTCTCAGTTCATGGCATTCCAGCTTGTTATTTTACGTTCATTTTTGTATTCCCCGGGCGGGAGCTATCACATAGTCTGAAATAAATTCACATTACGGGAACGCTCGGTTGGAAGAATTTAGCGAGATCGCGCAAGAAAATAGAAACACACGGGTCACTTGTTTCGAGGAAAGGGACCCCTGTGAAAAGATTCGCATGCGGGGACGATGTTGCAGCAAGTATATGAGAGCCGTTTCTCCCCTTGACTCTGATTCTCCTTTTACTCGCGTTCCTCCTCATCGTTCACAAATGAAATCAGCTTTGTCCACGGTGAATTTACGGAAAATTTCCCTCGCATTTGCCGACATGCGTGTACACACGTCACAGTCGCGACGCTTCCGGCGATATATGATTCATTTGGATGTATTGTAGTTGTTTGCGAATTAAGAATCCAGTCTACTCTGGTGGTATGAAAAATTAATGATTTTTGGGAATTTTTTGTGTGAAGAATATTAGAAATAAATCTGACATTTTATTGCTATTTAAATAATATATCAGTATTTTTTAATTTCTTCCTATTCAATACAAGTCTTTAGTCGTAGCATGTTTCTCATGTGTAATTGTCTAAAATAAAAAAGAAATTCGGTTTAGTTTTATTCTAGAATATTTGTGAGATATTAAAGCTAATTTTTCATTAGAAAGAATTGTGTGTGTGTGTGTGTGTGTGTGTGTGTGAGAAATAACAAATAGTGTCACAAAATAGATATTTTTAATTTTGTTGGAATTTATTCATTTCTTGAAAATCAGGAAAATATTAATTAATCATCTTTTAAATCCCAACTAAGTTTAACATCCTCCAAAAAAGTGGTTTCTTTCATAAAAAAAACTTGAAGTTATTCGATCCGTTTTTCATACCTGTCATACCAACTTTGAAAAATGTTTTAAAAAACACACATTTCAAGTTTTGCAGGCTCGCGTTTCAAGGCTCGCTCGCCATCCTATTTAAAATTTTACAACTCCATCAATTTTGCGAATTTTTCAATAAAATTTGGAAGATATATTCTCCGGATATCATATTTTTAGAAAATGGAAAAAATTGTTTTGATTCTCTAAAATAAATCGGACTCTTAAAACGTAAGCGTGGGAATAAATTACGATAAATGGGTCGAAAAAATTCAAAAGATAGATCCCGGTTTTTTCAATTTTCATTTTTCTCGTGAAAAATTTACAATTAAAATATTTCGA